GGAGTCCTACCCGGGAGGGAGGGAGGGAGGGGGGAGGGAGGGAGGGAGGGGGGGAAATAGTTGGGGAAGGGGCAGAGAGATGGTTGGGACAAATGCGGACTTGTGTGCGGGAAAAGGACGACACACGGCATTTCGGAGGCATAGGGCAATAATATAGGCAGTAGTTGCGGGCTTAGGGTTGGGGATGGTTTTATTTGGTTCTTTTCCCCTCATCTTCTACTGCTCACTCCACCCAGGTCTGACCCCGCCCGGGTCATCTACCCGGTTAGTTCACCTGGTAGCATCTGTCGAGGTCGAAGGGCGGCGGCTCAATGAACTTCTGTCCCATGGTGTCCAGCACGTAGTTCTGGATGGCGCCCACCAGCTTGTCAGGGCGGATAAGACTGAGGGGGGGCAGGGGTGGGGTGGGGTGGGGTGGGGTGGGGTGGGGTGGGGTGGGGTGAGGGTGGGGTGGGGTGGGGTGACGGGGAGTTCTTTTCGGGAGGGAGGAAGGAGGTCGTCGGGAAGGGTGAGAAGAAAGGGCGTTTGCTGTTGGCTCTGCTAGCATAGGGAGGGAGGCTAACGTAGGGATGCTAGCATACAAAAAGCAACACACCGATAAACTCCCCTTCCTCCCCTCTTCGCCCATCTCCCCGACCCCAAGCCCCCCAAACCCCCAAAACACACACATCAATTTCCCCATTTCCCCCATTTTCTCCTCACCGAATGATGAGCAGCTTCTGGAACGAGTCCAGCTTTGAGTGCCAGGGCTCAGGAAAGCGCACCCGAGTGGGATCCGCGCTGTCGTACATGGATCTCCACGGCCCTGGATCCTCCCTGAAGCTGTCCGGTAGCTGCCTGAAGATCTCCCAGTGCTCCGCCAGACGAACCATTTCTGCCCAGCAGCGGTCCGCCAGCCAGTCTGAGGGGTTGGGAGGGGCCTCGGCGGTGGAGATGCCGCCCGTGAGCAGGAAGCGGAACAGGCTGAGGTCCAGCGCCTGCTTGATGTGCGCCCGGATGGCCACCGTGAGCGAGAAGGAGAAGAGCAGCTTGTCCTTCTCGAACAGCGACCGACAGATGTTGACGTAGAGCGAGTAGGTGAAGTGCGCGATGAGGGCCTCAATGCGGCGAGTCAGGTCCTTGGACTTCTCAGCTCGCGCGATGGTGTCCTCAAACAGGTTCACAAACCACAGCAAGGAGTACTGCGAAGGTGTGTAGGTGTGTAGGGGCCGCGGTCGGGGTCGGGTGACAAAGGCGAGGTGGGGAAGGTGGTGGGGAAAGTGAATTCGAGGTGAAAAGAGGGGGTGGTCGGGAGGAAGTGGAGGAGGGCTGCTTAACCTGCTTAAGCCTACTCCCCCATTACCGGGGCCCCTCGCCTCAACCTAATAAACCCCCACCTTGCTTACCTACCTACCTACCAACCTACCTACCAACCTACCTACTGGTCCGTGTGTGTGTTTCCCTTCTCATTCTCTTTCCCCCATCCCCCCCCCGCCCCCCCCTCACACACACACACGGGATGAAGGGAGGGCTGTCCACCTCTTCCCGGCTGCTTGCCCCCCCCTCATGCAACCCCCCGTCCTCGGTCCTCCCGCCAAGCGCACGCACAGCCTCACCTGGTACATGGGCTCTATTGCCGCCAGGTCACTGATGCAAAAAAACAGCACAGACACGTGACGGGCCACGGGCTTGTAGCCCAACCGGGTCTCGTCAATGGTGCGCTCGGTCTTGTCAGCGATCTGCGGAACAGGACCGGGGGGAGGGGGGCCGTTTAAAAGGGTTGAAGGGGTTGAAGAAGAGGAAGGAGGGAAACGTGTGAGGTGTGTGTGAGTGTGTGTGTGTGTGTGTGTGTGAGGGGGGGAGGCGGGATAGGGTATCCCCCTACCACCGACGAGGAAAACGATATAGTTCGGTCCTGTTGCCGAATAAGCGGATATAGCTCAGTAGGGACAGCACGCTAGACTGAAGATCTAGAGGTTTTTAGACTGATCCTGGCAATTCGCAGAAAATTCATTTCCCATCAGCGCAGGCGTTGAAAATGAAAATTACATCAGAATAGACTGTTTCGGACTGTTGGTGGACTTTGGAACATTTTTGCATGTTGAATTGGTGGCGATGGATGATCTGTCTCTACAGATGTCGGGTGACTGATTGAGGCGGGGACTAGGCAGCAGAACCCAATAACCACCGTCGGGTGTATGGCAGAAATAACTTTCAAATGTATGGAGTCCATGGCCCGCCTTCGGGCTTTGACGGACATCGTGCGCAGAACTTGTAACTTGTAACTTGTACATGAGGGGGGTGGATGAGATGGTGAGAGAGCGCTCTCGGGGTGTGGGAGCAACCGGGGACCCCTGCCACCGCGGCGGCTACAGCTGCAGCTACACCGGCCAATGTGGCCCACTTGGACCTGCACCCCGCTTCCCTCCATTTTCCCCCCTTTGACACCCTCGCTTCCCCCCGCATACTTCCTCCCTCCCTCCCGCACATACCTGTTGCTTCTGTGCAATGTCGTTGGAGAGCTGCTTGGAGGAGCTGATCACATTGATGGCGGTCTCGTCCTGCATTTGCATTCAGGGGCCGCGGGAATGGGGGGAGGGCGAGGTGTGTGTGTGGGGGGGGTGTTGAGTACACACGACGGATTGGGGCCAACAACCCCCTATGCATGCATATCCACTCGGCCTCCGACCAAAACAAAACGTATGAAGCCCTGACGGGGCTCCCCTTCCACGCATCCCCTCCTCCCCCCCTCCCCCCCACAAA